CATTCAATTGAACTCAAAGATCATTTGATACAAGCAGCCACGTATTCTTTGGTTACTAAAGGAGCAAATACATCAGAGAAAGAGAGAGGTGATTGTATAAACAAAGGGCAATGGCGAAGGGCAGAAAATTCACCAGCTGGAGCACGATGCTGACACCATATAAATAAAAATTCAGCGCGCGGTACGGCAAAACAAGTAAAAATAAGAGATTGCCATGCAGCAAGCATGGAAATAGAAAAATACGATTCATGCCCTGTCATACAGAAAAACCTTCAAGTCAAGATACGTCTGGGGGAAAAACGCGTGAGATTTAATCGATCATACATTGAATACAGTACTTACGAGCCTTTAATCCGTGGATTATAAGTCCTATGGAAAACACGACGACTGTAGCTTTCCAGACGGTCATGTTTTCGAGATCTTGTCAATGTCAACTCGAATTCTTAGGTCCTTGAAAAGAGCATGGCTTTGTCAGTAAAATGCTGGCCGCCCGCAAGTGACAGAAACAGGAAAGAGAGGAGTCTTTGTTGAGGAACTTGACACCAGGGGAATCTTTACACAATAGTGATCCAAGCAGCATTTAGACTCGCCAGGGCAGTCAGAATCGTGTTTTGATTCAGCAGAGAGTCCACAAAGAACTGTCTTGTTAGGGTCAGGTTTTATAGCCTCACACAAGAGCGGGTCAGGGGTTGCAATGAAGTCAAAAGCTGGACACTTTCCAGGTTTCTCTAGGAGAAAATGTCACAGTTAAAGAACCTAACATGTTACACGAGACGATTCGCAAGAACGTTTTTCAATGCATCAGAGCTTGTAACATTGTCCGGCACTGTTTCGAATTGTTACAGCATTGTTCCACCATTGATGCTAAAAATCGTCGTTGTAAATCGTCACGTGTAATATCACCTTTAAAGAGCTTAAGTAACTACGGCGGCGACGGCAAAGAAAACGCCACCTTAAAAGTGAATTCGCGCTGTTTCACACTTCATCACTACTATTCCATTTCGTTTGATTTGTCAGATATTGGGGGGTATTTCTGAAGATGCATTCTAAAGGACTGTATGCAGCGGGTTCAAAAACTGGTCAGAAACGATAATCGTTGTCTTGCTTTCACGCCCTCCTTAAAACGTAAAATTAGAAATTTTGACTTCGTGGTCGTGCCTTGACAGCAAAGAATTAAATAAAAACGGTGAGGCATGTGAAGAGTTCGTGTTTTGCTCTTTGAACCTATTTTCTTTCTCTTTTTTTTGGCGTTTTCGCTGCCATCGTCATACAGGCATTCAGTCTAACAACATCTAGGAAATGTGTCCAAACAGTTAAAACACAAATTTGCTGCGTGTCACCTTAAAACCCACACCGTAAATGATCTAATAGATAACGGCCTATTATCTAATAAACGCCCTTCCTAGAGAGAGGCGTCTAACACAAAATTAAAAGGGTAATAAACGCCGCCTCCTTTCTATTCTAAAAATTACTCCAAAATACTACGAAATGGCAAAGCAGTTCATGGATTGATTAACAGAGGATTGCACCTTGCATCTCGTTGAATGTTAAGTTTGTATTTTTTATTTTATTTTATTAGCTTCGCCACATAATATAAATACAATCTGGTAATCAAACGAAGTAACAAAGAAAACGTGGCAGGGATTCCGCAACAGCGTGAGCCAGTTACTGCGGGCCCAGAAAATTAAAAAATATAAGAATAGTTAAAATACAGAATGGTTCAAAGTAACCAGCGCTCTTTGATATTCTTGATCACTGTGCTCAGTATGCCAGCAATTTTCGTCCTGCACAAAGTGCTTAGCAATGATAACGAGGGTCAAAAGATGGATGGATTGGATTTTCGCCAAACGCATACTGTATCAGTTTTGTCTAGTAGTTTGTTACAGTTACGAGAATAAACGCCTCTTATGACCTTATCTATTAAACGCCACCGCATGGGCCCCTAAAATTAAATAGACGCCCGGTATTGCTGCATTATTAACAATTATTCCTTGAGCCCGAATGGGCTGTTGACTTAGAGGCCATGAGGGTAAGAGGAATAATTGCTTTAGTAAAATCCATCTAGATGGTCAAAAATATCGACACAAAACAACTTTAGCTAGCAAAACTCGATTCAGCCATCATTTTTTTGGTTTTCAAAGTGGGCGGTTTTCGCTACTAGTGGGCTATAACATATAGCCTACCAGTAGCTCAACCAATCAGAACGCAGCATTGATAATAGACCACTAGTTGGATTTTACTAATTTACGGTATATTAGCCAGTAAACAGGCTCTCTGTTTGTTCACAGGCTAACGGTATATTTGTCTTTGAACTGTGTGTAAAAGAGCCCTTACCTGCAGACATCTTGTTAGTGAGATCACTTAATACCTCACCCAGTTCACTGGCTTCACTAGCTTTGTAAACAAAACTACCATTACCAGCTAACTTTTCCAAAAATGAGCGAGGGATATTACGATTGGTTCCTATGGCGACAATAGTCACACCCAAGTCTCTGAGTCGTTTTGCTGCTCCCTCGTGGAGACTAAAAGCGGACGTGGAGTCGTTCGAAGCAATGAATATAAGGAACCGAGGATAGCCTTGCCTCATTCCTCCTTCTAAGCTAAAGATCTCTTCTTTGGTCGTGTTTAAGGCAATGTCTACCCTTCTCTGAGAATCGTTGCGTTTTGGTATGTTGTCTATGATCTTTTCCAAGTATGGCTCGTCTCTGTACTTTCGGAAATCTGTCAGAACTGTAGCATTGTCCCCGTATTCAAGTAGCGCGAAATGAATGTTGTTTTCCGAGCTAGAAATGCTACGAATAAGTCTTTTGAGGAACGTCTTGACATCATTGAAGGCACTGCTTGTTGTAGTCCTTGAATTTTCTATTGCAATTGCCACATCCATTGGTATAAAGAGGTCTGTTGAAATAAAAAGATGACTTATTTAATCCATTTAGGCCATCCTCTTTTTTTTCTCCGTTTAGCGTCGTCCGACCGATCCGAATTTTTGGCATTTTCAAAAAAAAAAGTAACGACGTAGTTAAACCATTTTTCACTTGAAATAACTCTTTTAATCTAAAAAATGAGCATAGTAACAGCGTAAAGAAAAACAGGAACAAAAACATGAACATTTTTTACGGTATATTGTGCATTTTGTTGATCCAAATATGTGAATGTTAACCTTTAACGTCGTACTGGGCAACCAGGGCCTCCTATTCCGAGACTTCTTGTGATTTTTTTTTAACGTTTTTTTTTTTTTTTTCAATCCGACCGACCGACCCAATATCAGGCGGAAACGCATTCGACGCTAAACGAAAAAAAAAGGGGGGATGAGCTTACACTGGATACAAGTCATTATGATCAGACACGAAGATAGCAGAAGGGAAGAACTAGCAGGGAACATAAGAACCATACGAGCTAGTACACCTGTAAATAAGGTAGATTTAAAACTAAAATTCACTCCCGTTTGAAAAACTGGCTAAAAACTACATGTGAAAATACTTTCGTAGCACTACGTAAAAGGTGAACCAGCACCTTTCACAGATATAGAGAATACTTCAGCGTAACAACCGTACGAAGCACTTTTCATGTGGTATTGCGTTTACATACATACTGAGACAGTCATCATTTTGGCGGCCTTTTTATTTCAGATCTTTCCAAAATGCTAAAATTTGCCGCTACACACCGCGAAATGACAACAACATCGAAATATCAGCTTATTAGTAAAAAAGTTTGTTTAAAACATAATGAGGGTAAGGATATGAGGTAATCCAAGAACTACAAGTAATATTAACTGTTTGTTCTGAATGTCCAATTAAAAATGAATGAACTTATGTTAACTCGCCGGTTTGGAAGACAAAGAAGCCCCGATAAAAAGCACAACTTAAGCTTACGTCTCGTTCTGTTTTTCCCCTTCCGCTGTTGTTTCGCTGGCTCTCTACAGTTTACTTCATCGACAGTGAAACAAACGAAACTATTCCACTCCAATTTCCGAGATGTTTTTTACTTTTTTATAGGAGAAAAACCCTTCGGGAAAATTTTTTCTCTTTGAATGTCTGCGAAGGGGCGCTGCAAGCGGCAAGCGCCTAGAAAAGGCGGGAATTTTGGCGCGAAACTCACACACCTCTGTGGTTTCTTATTGGTCAGCATTAGATCCCATCGGCCGTAGCCCCTTTCTCCCCTTATGAAATTTACACAAGGTAGAACTGTTTTCTGCTTTCATATCACACTTAGATGATATTTCAAGCTGGAAATGTTCATGAAAGTGCAAGTCTCTTCAATTTGAAAGAAAAAAAATTGATATATAAGACAGTACGACTCGAACTTTACTCGAACCCACGACCCAGGTGGTCCAGTATACTACGCTAACCACAAGACCACTGAGCATTTGCTGGATGGACGACACATTAAGTACTAGCATCAACCCCCAAAAAAGAACCTAACCAGTTTCGAAACAGTGCTTAACCGTAATCAGTAGAGGAAGTGCTTAATCGAAACTTAACCTTAACCATGTAAAAGGCAGTGCTTAACCCTAATTAGTAAAGGGGAAAACTACGTTGCGTAAATTTCATGAGGTTTCCGAAGGGGCTACGGTCGATGAGATCTAATGATAACCCTTCTGATTGGACGTATCATTTTTCTCACAAGTGAAAAACACATCCTTCTCTATTCTTATTGGACGTATCATTTTTTTGAGGTGTGAAAACCATCGTTCGCTCCTCTGATTGGCTAGAACACATTTGCGTATGAAAATTTACGACAGAGCTCTTTGGTGAGTATTTCTCAGTCTGTACATAATAAAAAAGAATACATAACACTGGAAAGAAGAGCAGTCGAGTCCAACCGAATCGCTCCATCGGCAAAAGTAACAAAATTGAGTAAGGTAATCAAACGGAATTAAGAGTCAGAAAAACCTGACTTACTTGTTACTTGAGCGGCACATATTCGTTCACCACAGCCATCTTGACAACACATTGGAGTCTGACCTTTCTTGCAATCAGCATCAACGTCACATTCGTGTTCTATAAGTTCGGAACAGCTGAGAGGAGGACGAGGAGGAAGGAGAGGGCACCTTCCAGCTTTACCTAGAAGATAAAATAAACAACTTTGCAAACCTCGTAATGAGAAAGCTGGGAATGAGCTGGAAGGACAACCTCAATCTCTCAAGTCGTTGAGGAATCTCAATTTACATCTTAATTAAATCAAACAAATTCTCCTGGAGAGTCTTCAGAAAACAGATTACTATACTGACGTTCCCCAAATACTTTGTAATAATAAGCAAAATGAAAACGTGATAATATTTGCATACTTCATATGCAGGTTCTTAATTACTCGCGGGTTTTCACTATACTCCGCAAAGATTACCTTTGCAAACAACGTTGGCAACATCTCTACTCTGGGCTCTCAGATCACCACGATCTGGAATTCTGTAAAAGAACTTGGAAGACGGCTGAGATGATGCAAGCTTGTAAAGGTCGGAATCTACCCCTCCACCAACTCCCACAGTTACAAGCTTCACTCCCAAGCTCTTAAGTCTTCTGGCAGCGGCAAGAATTTCTTGTCGCTTGTTCATGGAGCCTTCGGGTACAAGAAGAATAAATGATTTGGGAGCTTGCTGTCTTACACCCCCAAATATTGTGAAAGTGACGTGGAAGGCTTCATCTATGGCAGAGACTTCGTTGCCTTCATTTCCTTGCTGGGTGATACCGTTTGTCAAAGTCTGCACGGCGTCCTTGGTATTAAGTTGGTCCATCTTTAAGATCGTTGATGCAGTCTCACCGTATGTTACTAGACCAACGTGCACTTTCATGGGACCAACATCCAATGAATCGATAGTCTGGCTTATAAATTCCTTCATGCTTTGAAAACGTTCGACTGAGATGTTCTGGGACGTTGGTATTCCGAAAACAACATCAACAGGATCGGAACAAGCTGAAAGAAAAATACATTTGATTCACTGGTTTCACAGTTTTCGTTTTTCCATTATTGTTTGTGAAGCAAACACTATAAACCCAGGAGTCATGTCATAAGTATGTGCAATATGTCCGACAGAGTGAGTGTACTCTGTGGAGGTAAGCCCTATAATGGCTTATAAGGGGAGGCTCCACCCGAAAGGGGTACCATTTTCAGGGTTCAGATATGCAAAGTGTAGGGATTTTACCATTTGAACCATATGAAAGGGTAGGGAAATCAATCATTTCGGTCTGTAAAAGGACCTAACGGGGCTAACAGACACATTTTATAGCTGGGAGAAAGTCTACACAGGGGCGGATGCAGGATTTTTTTAGGAGGGCGTGCACTCGTCTCTTGCTCTACTTCAACACCAATAAACCACATAGTTTTTTTTTGTTGCAGAATACCAGTTGTATTAGAAAACCGCAGGTCATTTTTTTTTTTTGGGGGGGTGAGGGTGGGGCACCCCTGCATTCTTCCCCTAAGACCGCCGCCGCGAAAAGACATAAAGATTTTAGAGTATGGAGAAGGTATACACAGGGGAGGATGGAGAATTTTTTTATGAGGGGGTGCGTCCGTCTCTTGTTGTACTTCAACACAAAAAAACCATATAGTTTTTTTTTGTTGCGTAATTCCAGTTTTATTAGAAACCCGCCGGTCATTTTTTTTTTTTGGGGGGGGGAGGGTGCGCACCCCCTGCATCCTTCCCCTAGATCCGCCCCTGCTACAAGACATACTGGTATAGCATTTTTTCATATTTCAAAGACGGTACATTTACACAAGAGTTAAAGGGGGTGCAGTGTTCTTATCTAGGTATGTGAAAGTGGCTACCTTCTCTGTCAAAATAGTATATCAGAGGGAAAGTGTTGGACCTCAGGGCGGAGCCCCCCCGGCATAAAACTTTGTTGAGTAACCCCCCGGAGAGTGCAGTCTCGAATAGGACTGTTGCTGACAGTGGCTGATGTTTCCAGAAACTTAAATCTTCGGAGTCAAAAAATGTATCTCGTCAGTATATGGTTTTATTAAACTTTTGTATCATTTAACTCACCTAGACATTCCCGTTTAGTAAGCTGTCCGACCACGTTCAAGATTTCATCGAAGGCCTTAGCGACGTACAGATTATTCTCATTCGATGCTATGTTGAGTAACTGAAATGGATCGACGCCCCTTCCAATTCCGAGAGCAAGCACGTCTATATCCTTGTTGTGTAAACTTTGTGCTGCGGCAATGAGGTTATCTTCGGCTTCTTCTGGGCTGGGTTCTGGTGTTTGAGTCCCGTCTGTTAACACCAAAGCCATCTAGAGTGGTTTAGGAGATCTATGTTAGTAATAGGATCACCAGGCTAAGTCATAAAGGAGAAAGAAGGTAGAAAAAGTAATTGTAAATGTTAAGAAGTTCATCTCAATTATAGACGCAACTTCCGCAGTTGCTGGGAAAAAATCGTATGGTTTTCGTGTGCTTTTAGTTGAAATTTTGGTCATGTGACATGTCACGTGATTGTATGTTTAAATGATTAGCGCTTCTGGTAGAGAATAATAGCTCAGTCAATTTCAAACGTGCCCATCCCCCCCGGGCATTTGTCTTTTTTTTCCTTTTTTTTTTCTCCAGGCCAACACCAAATTTGCATTTTCCTGTAAATAAGTTGCAAATGCCATCTGTTCAAAACGCATGAAGCACCCTTGGCAAATCGCTTTTAGCCGCTAGTTATAATAACTGGAAAAAAGATCACATCGATCTGATTAATAGCAATGACAGAATAATAAACTAGAACTTTAATAATACCCGCCTTATCCAAGGTATTTTTAACGAGCTAGGCATTACATTCTTTCAAACCTTAGTGACCTGACTTACCTTTTTAACGCCGGTTCTCATACCACTTTCCACAGTAAAAATTTCCTGATTCGCCAATGTTAAAGCTTTGTCAATAAAAGTCTTGCCTTTCGATTGCAAAATTTCTTCCACCTTTCGCTTGACATTAACGCCGTTGAGCTGAGCACCAGTAAAATCGTTGAATCTCAAGTAAACTTTTGGTTCCGTACTGTACTCGAGGAACGCGAAATGGGTTCCCTTTTCATGCACTTCGAATGCGTCAATGACGCGCTTAACAAAGTCTTTGATGAGGATCCAGTTACTCGATGATATGCTCCCCGAGCCGTCCAAGATGAAGGCAAAATCTACAGGAACGGGACAGTTGGCTGTGGGAAGAAACAACACGACTAACGTTAGTTAGATCAAAACTGAAAAGGTATGCGTGACTATCACCTAGTGGTCCTTACGTTCTAGATGCCCTCCCCCGTTAAAAACAGTGTCCTCTTTCTGCGTTCATGGGCTTGCACTGAAAAGTCAGAGAAAGTTGTTTCTGTTCTTTCTTTTTTCTTTTACCTTTTGGCCTCTTGATACCAATGAAATAGCATCCAAAAGTCGGCACAATTTTGTTTGAAAGACCACTACCCATGGGGAAATCCATTTAGCAGATTTAAAATTTAGAGCGGCAATTTCTTTTAATTTTCTCATATATAGGAGTAAAGGGGTTGCGGTGGTCGCTAGTCTGCGAGCAAGTTCTCAAATTATGGCGAGCAAAGCGAGCCGTAGCCTGCGAGCAAGCTCTCCATTTGGTGGAGTCGCGGCAAGTCACGCACGAACCGCACGTGAAAAGAGCCACGAGTGCGTGGGGCGTTCTCTTGTGGCTCAATTTGCCCGCCATAAATGGAGAGCTTGCTTGCAGACTAGCGAGCCGCCAGAGAACGCTGTCTCCTTTTGCGTGACTTCTCGCGACTCCCCCAATTGGAGAGCTTGCACGCAGGCTACCGGCGCTCGCCATAACTTGAAAGCTTGCACGCACAGTAGCGACCACCACAGCCTTTTCACTCCTGGACCACAATATATATATATGGGAAGATCAAAAAAATTCGCAGGCTAAGCGGTCGCTTTCGAAAGGGTTCACTGCGACTAGAAATTCTCGTTTTACGGAGAAACTGTTATAAATGCCTCTTACTTTGCGGTACGGGGACCAAACATAAGAGTTGGCAGGCTTCATTATCATATGGCGTTGGACAACATTTTCGTCCAGCAGAACACTCTTGATCTGACAGACACTCATTATCCACGTCCAATGGACACTCAGCCCCATATTTGGTGACATTAGGACAAACGGTGTTCTCTGCAAGATAAAAAAGAAGGGCATGCACCAAGATTTTAACCAGTTGTAATAAATATAAGTGTTCAGTGAGATTAGGCCAGTACAGTAAAACCCCGCGACTAAGAACCTGGATTTTCAGAACCTGATAGGCTAAAATTTGCCAGTTAAGCCCCCTCTATTTAAGAACCTGTTTAGCCTAAAATTTGAAACAGGTTCTTATTTTCTAAAATCTATGAAAAACTTCTGCACACTTAGACAATATAAGATATGTCAACTGAACCACCAGCAAATACTCTTAGCTATATTCATATTTTTTCCTTGGAAACTATGAAACTATTTAAGAACCTACATAGCCTAAACGTGTGCTAACTACCATTTATATAAGAACCTGTTTAGGCTAACCTGGAAAAATCCAGGTTCTTAGTCCCGGGGTTTTACTGTATTCAATCTAGTTTGATTCAAAATTTACTTTGTTTCCCAGCCCTATTTATTTATATTAGACAACGGAAGAACGCAGTTTACGTGTACAATACCCATTATTTCAAAAGGTAAGAATTTCCTTGGCACACGCAAAGTCTTACATTGTATTTTTAAATTTAAAAAAAGGTTTAAAAAAGTTCAAAACTATTTTTAAATTAGAGTTGTGGTGATTCACTGTGGCAGTTACAATGATACCTAATAGTAGTTTTTACTTTAAGGACAATTAAGCAAGCAAATAAAAAAGTAACCTCTAAGTAAAAAGTAAGATCAACTAAAATAGTATAAGTGCTTGCTAAAATCCATTCCTTGGATTCACTGATCCCGCGTAGTTGAGGGAGAAAAAGTTTATTGTGTGGCAATATGTATGCATTGCTAATTATTCAAGGGGCATTAACATTATAAAAAAACATACATTCACCCCCTGGGAAGGGTTATTTGACACCAGCATTTGGCCCCTGGGCAATCACAGAGCATTTGACATGAAAATAGGGTAAAATGTCAAATTCCCCTGGATATGCCTGGCCCCCTCCCCTAAGGCTAAACATTGACTGGTGCATTAGCGTGGCTTTATTTTAAGAATATGAAGAAGGAAAATGCAGTAAGAGAGAGAAAGTGACAACAGATTGTGGAGCAGTATAATGCTTCTCCAGATGCATGTTTGTTTCATATTAAAGTGATATTTCTGCTTATTTATGACGAACTTCCATTGAGAGGCCACTTGCCAGTACCGTAAGGGTGACCCCTCAATTGAGTTTCAACTGTATTTGTTTTCTGAGTGTGACTGCCCGTGACAAGTCAAGTGCTGCAGATTTAGTGTTGCGTGATAGGTCACGTCGCATCATGTCACACTTGTAAACTTGCCGAGATTCTGGAGCATGCAAGACGCAACATTGTAAATTTTTTTAGAATTTTCACGGCTTAAATATTCACAGCATTTCCATTGTTTCATTAGCGGTAAAAAGACAACTAACACAGACTGATATCTGGTCACAAACACTCGATTTATACACTAAACAACGTAGACAAAACTCGTTGTCAAAACCCCGCAAAACCTTGGTTAACGTGACTTAAACATTCAATTGAATTACTCGAAGATCATTCGATACAAGCAGCCTCGTATTCTTTGGTTACTAAAGAAGCAAAAACATCAGAGAAAGAGAGAAGTGATTGTATAAACAAAGGGCAATGGCGAAGGGCAGAAAATTCACGAGCTGGAGCACAATGCTGACACCATATAAATAAAAATTCAGCGCGCGGTACGGCAAAACAAGTGAAAATAAGAGATTGCCATGCAGCAAGCATGGAAATAGAAAAATGCGATTCATGCCCTGTCATACAGAAAAACCCTCAAGTCAAGATACGTCTGGGGGAAAAACGCGTGAGATTTAATCGATCATACATTGAATACAATACTTACGAGCCTTTAATCCGTGGATTATAAGTCCTATGGAAAACACGACGACTGTAGCTTTCCAGACGGTCATGTTTTCGAGATCTTGTCAATGTCAACACGAATTCTTAGGTCCTTGAAAAGAGCATGGCTTTGTCAGTAAAATGCTGGCCGCCCGCAAGTGACAGAAACAGGAAAGAGAGGAGTCTTTGTTGAGGAACTTGACACCAGGGGAATCTTTACACAATAGTGCCCTGTCTCTGGTAAAAATGGATGGACAATGAAGTGATTACAGTGGCGCCCTGTGCACCGCAAGTGTAGCACGCGTAATAGAAATTTAGGGAAAAAAAAAGGAAAAAGAAATAAAATAAAAAGGGCGCTGGCTGCGAGAGAAGAGGACAAGCGCTTACCCGTTCGCCATATTTCATGGGCTTACTACCTTTTGAACTGTTTCTTTGGTGAGAGGTACACTGGCATGTAGGGCAAAACCGGAGGACGCTTATTCTGTATTTTTGTGGCTTGACATTAATCAATTGTTATTGAAGATATCTTTGCAAAATAAGGTTCTCAAAGAGGGGTATCCCGAAAAGGAATAAGAGCCGAAACTTTTAATCTTTATTCTTTATCTAGCCGCGAATACAGTCGTCTCTCCAGCGTAGCTAGAGGGATTGGCGGGCGAGTGCCGTAGTTTTTTGGCGGCGGAGTCGAGTGAAGATTGGGAGCAAGTCAGGCCTGGGAGCAAGTCAAAGGGAGTTCTGATTAGCTGATAGAGGATAACACGTCAATCAAATGTTGCGACGGATTTTCCCTCGCGGCTCCGCCGTAGCCTGTTCACAGGCCGTCCATTTTCTCTTCAAGGTCCGTCGAGCGCGCGTGATATAAAACGGGGGGGATTTATTGACCGCTAGCGCAAGGGGGTAGTGGTGGGGGAAGAACAAAATATTATTTTCTCTTTCTCGCGCTCCGCGCTCGAAATGAACGAAAATAAAAATAAAAATCTCTGTACAGGCTAGCTCCGCCGCCAAGAAAGTAAGCTACGTCTCTCCTCGCTACTCCTCAGGTAAATTAAGGCATGGGTCTCAATTTGCCTTAATTTGCTTTCTTCAAAAGTGAGGGGGTGGTCTATATCTAAGAGCTTTAGATGAAGAGACATAAAACTTTGCCAGCTAACCACATTTTTAGTTTGTGTCAATTTTGTGCTTTAAAATTATGCAAATTAGGTCACGTGACCTCCATCGGCTGAAAAAGCTTGTTCTTCAAACGGCAACACTTTTTCGTGTGTCTTCAATTATTTTACCGGTTGTATAATGTTAATGCCGTTTAATGTATCACCTCTGTGCTTGGCCTTTTTTAGTTTAAAATCGAAGGCGTTAAGATGGGATACAATTGCTTTGGGGGACTGGGTCTAGTTGAAAAAGCCGTTTATTTTCTAAAACAGTAGAAAATTCAAAAAAGGCCAAGCACAGTCTTGTAGATCCTTGCATTAGACATTGTCCTAAACCAGTCCGGTTTAATAACTCACAACAAAAAGTGTTGCCATTTTTGTTTAAAGACTTTTTATTGTTTTCTGGCCGTGTAGAGTCAAGTGACAACATTTGCATAATTGAACATCACCTAATTGACAGAAACCACACATGTATGTATCTGGCAAATTCTCATCTTTCTACTGCTTACGTGCTCAGAGATAGACCACCCCCCATCACTTTTTTACTGAATCATTGGGGACGCATGCCTTAATTTACCTGAGTCGCCGATAAGGACGTTTCTCTCCCGCGAAACGTCCCAAGCGTCGGGGAGCGACGGAAGGACGGATGTACTGGCGATCCCGGCACCCCAGACTTTAACACTCAATACAGATTCTGTAAGGAGCCTATTACCCTGATTCTACATCAATGACCATTAATTGGGTAGAATTGGCGCAGGAGAATTTTTACAGTGATTTATCTTTTAAGTAGCTACCTTCCTTTACACCAATCTTGTTTAAACATTGAAGCCTGTAGATTTTCTGAGAGCTGAAACAGAAATTTGGGTATAAGGTGACCTAGCCTGCAAACCGCAGCCGCATTTCCGGTCGTCGCTTGAAAATGACGAAATTATTAACAGTTACACATGCGAAAGCACGGCTTTGGTCTGAGATTTCCCTGTAATGTCGACCGAACCGACAAGGTTAATGAGTTATTTATCACGTTCTCAAGTGAACGTAAAATTTGGCCATTTTCACGTCGTAGTTGTGCAGGGATGGCAAAGAAATATACAATAAAAGCGTGAATCGAATGGCCTTTTCATAGAGCTATTAATCGTAATTTCCAACATTAGATAGAGCGCGCAAGAGAACACTCGCGTTCGTGTTCACGAACCTAAATGAATCAAACGACGAATCTGGTGATACACAGTTTCTTTGGACCTGAGACTGCGATCAATTTAAACCAATAACTGGTTACCAGGTAACTTAAAATAAAAACGCGTACTATAAGTGTAGCCATATAAAAAGCTCTAGTTTTAGAGTATCTTATCATCAAATTGTAGTCAAATAAAGGGAGTAATCAGAAAGGCAGGCACCAACGTCTAGGTGTCTGTCTTATAGAGGAGTGTCCGTTAAGAGAACACGATTCAACATTCTAAAAAACTTGAATTTTATAGATCTTTGAAAACCGATCATACCACCTCTAGTTACTTAGACTTAACAAGAGGAACAGCTGGGAGAAGGGCTCTAGTAAAACTACGAATAAACAATCACAAACTAATGATAGAAATAGGCAGATACAATCAAACGACAAAGGATAACAGGCATTGCCCTTTTTGTGGATCCAACGTAATAGAAGACGAAGTTCACTTTCTTTTTTAATGTCTTGCATACTCTATGATTAGGAATCAGTAAATTTTACTATAAAAGTCAAGAGTCCGATTCCAAATATTACCCAGTTACCTATAAACGGTTTGATCAATGAACTGATGAACTCCTCTAATTACTTCATCAATATACAATTCACAAAATATATTTCAGCTTGTTTTGATGTTCGTGACAAATTATTATCAAAGTATGTAACGTAACGTAATTCATACGAAAATCGCTCTANGAATCAGTAAATTTTACTATAAAAGTCAAGAGTCCGATTCCAAATATTACCCAGTTACCTATAAACGGTTTGATCAATGAACTGATGAACTCCTCTAATTACTTCATCAATATACAATTCACAAAATATATTTCAGCTTGTTTTGATGTTCGTGACAAATTATTATCAAAGTATGTAACGTAACGTAATTCATACGAAAATCGCTCTAAGGACTATGTCAAACGTTTGAACTGAGTTTTTGCCAGTGTACGGTCCGTTAAGTTATGTTCACACTGAACCGGATAACTTTTGAGCCGCACGTAAACCAGAAGTAATGGTAACAGGACTGAGTGGAGTCCAATTCGGTCTGTAATCATACGCGCGCGCGTGATGGCGCGTACTGTCCAATTACTTAGGCATGACGCGTACTGTCCTATTAAGGCTGAAGTCAGGACAGTTGATAACCAATCAGATTTGATAATTTTGTTATAGTTATGATTAGTTATAGTATAGGGCTTCAGTTCACACATGACTTCGGTGATTTCAGCGCAATTTTCGTGTCGGTACAAAGAGCTATTCGGTATAGTGTGAATATAGCCTTAAACAACACTGATAAATATTCTACAAGTAGTTGCAAGGAGCTCTCTCCAGTTTCTTTAGCTGAGTCAGAACCTCGTTATCCACTTCATTCCACACATAAACATCACTAGAAGCTATTTCAACCAAGTTCATTAAGTCAACAGTATCTTCCATCTCTGGGATGTTTATGGACTGCACTAGGATGCCAGAGTCTTTTAAAGCACGAGATGCGGCTTCCAAGCGATGCTCTTCTTCGTCTTCTCCCAACATTCCGTCCGTGAAGACCAGGAGTACCTATTGGTTAAAAAAGCAACCTAGGCTGAGAAAACAGCCGACATTGCGCGACGCCATCACTGATTCTCCGCAATATGACGTCTGAGTTACGACTGCAGAAATTCCATTCTCATGACGTGTCACTACCCAGATCTGGGTAGTGCCTCTGATTGGTAGTGCCGCAAGGGAAATTCGCTTCAACCAGTCAGAAGCACTACTCGACCATGACTGCACAGATGTGGGTAGTGACACGTTATCAGTATGGCAGAATTTCTGCCTTCGTTTCTCATCTTAGACGTCATTTCGCGGGGAAACCAGTGGTGGCATCAGCAGTTTTCGTAGGCTAAAAGCAACTAAATGTATCGAATCAAATCATTTTATCAAAACTGCATAAAAAATTTAGCTCTCAATTCTCCACTAAATCCTCTATTTCGGGGTAACGACGTCTGGGATCGTCTGTCTGGGCAGACATGCATAATTATGATTAATTTTGGTCGTTGGCTACCACTGAACGATGCCACGAGAAATCTCTACGCCAACCTTAGCGTGTACCTATTTTTCCCTGAAGTATACAGAGTGACAAATAGCTGGTATTGCAGTTAACAGTAGTTTTGAAAATAGAGAAACGAGGCACAATTCTACAGTGTATAAACCTCGTTTGGGCGTCTTTTTAACCAGAGACTCAACTAAGAGATAAAAAATTCAATATCACTGAGTAACAACAACAGCTGATGGGTTAATGATGCCTGATGTTGGTAGTACCTGGAAAAATATAAAAGACAACGGTTTTCCTTTTTTTATGGCGAACGAGAACTAATTGCCAAATTTCGTTTACTATAAATCATATTAGTACAGGGAAACTAAGGTCAAGAATGGCTATGGTAAAAATTGGATACTACCTTGAAATTGTAGGGTCGCTGTTTTCAAGTTCTGTTGTTGTACCTGATAACCATCTATTAAGTCTCCTCTTATTTACAAATTCTCTTGGTTTTTTCTTATTGGCTTCAACTTCCCCCCTTACCGTTCATGTACACCCTTTTTCGCAATTTTACCATGAATGAAAGTTTAAGGACTTTAGATTTACAGCAATACCTTAATCGCTTCAGGTCTTCTTCCATTGGTTTCATTAAACATGTCCTTGGCCAACTCAAGGGCGCTAATAAGAGGTCTAATAATCTTTCTACTCGGCTGCTTTGGTGTAATGCTCTCGATGATTCTCTTAACTTTGTTTGGCGTTTGTCTTCCATCAAACTTGAGCAGCAACTCGCTTTCCCTTTCAATTGTCCTCAGCGCAATGTGAGTGGACTTCTTTGAGACTGACATTTTACGAACAACTCTCGTTATGTTTCCCAGAACGGTTTTGTAGGGCTCAAACACCATGCCGAGATCAACTGGTACTTTGCACCCTGAAATTAAAACCATGATAAACGTTTTCATGAGAAAAGAGCAAAGAAGGTCATGTCAATTTAAGGCGCAACTTATGCAGTTGCGAAAAAAAGCATGAAAAAATTGAGGTTTTCCGGCATTTTGCCATTCCAACCCAGACCTTAAGCGATACTGGCGCAGCGCTCTTACTAATGGAGCCCAGTAGCAAGCCATCTGGGAGCTGGTCATTATTAATAAGACTCGTAATATACCCGAGAAGCGGAAGATAAAGTTGAATATATGAATTTCATATATTGGCTCTTTGGCAGTAGTTTTACATGGCGCTGTACGTAGTTGTCTCCATTTGACAAAAATGAAATTTGAAATTTTTGTCTAAATAGAACTTTGGCCTCTTCTGGAAGGGAAAGGGTATGGTCCTCGTCCACTCATGTAAGTGGCATAATAAAGCCGGTACTTTGTGATATAATCCTATGAATTAAGAAATGCGTTTTGACGATCCCCTTTCCCCTCAAAGTAATGTTTAAAGAATATATAAAGCATCACTGAGACGATCGAAGAGTTCAGACACGAAGGAGTGATTCAAACTGAAAAGGGAGCAAAGCCAAGAAGCTTAAGCGATTTCGACGGATCTCAGAAAACGAGATCAGATCTAAGTAGTGCGTTTACGTGGCTGATTGCTCCAACCAATCAGAACCATTACCCAGAGAGGGTAGTGACACGTCATCAGTACGGAATTTCTGCACTTGTTTCTCAGGCGTCGTTTCGCGGTGGAAACCAGTGGTGACGTCGCTAAATGTCGGCTGTCTTCTCAAGCAGGGCCGGCGAAAGGGCCGCACTCAAGAAATTTTTTATTCTTTCTGTTCCACAGCTGTTCATGATTGAAATAACTTACATTCTGAATAATTGACAGGAGCAACGCACTTCATATCACAGCCTCTCGAGCAGCACTTCAAAGAAGTCTCGCAATCTTCATCTTCAAAACATTCTTCCTCGTGTTCTGATAAGAACAAACCCTGTTGGCAATTCACCGCTGGTCTCTGGTATGGACAGTTTCCAACGGTTTTTCGAAGGCCTGTGGGATTCAATTAAAGAGATTGTTCACGAGTATACACCTCATTATTACGGGTCTATATAAGAGTATGTCTCCTCCTCACCAGATACTAACAAAAGTTTAGGCACCTTAATTTTGAATTTAAAATCCCATGTTTACACAAAGGAGTCTGGTATTTTGATTACACGATAGAGTCTCAAGTAGGTTGAGAATGATCAACCGGAACTGTTGTTGACAGTGACTGACGTTTCGACAACCTGTGCGTTAGTCATCTTCAGAGTCAAAGTGTGCTTGGAAGTAGTGGGCGAAAGAGAGAACGTGCGCGCGCGAGGGAGACACGCGAGGTCTCCTTCTCGCGCGCCCGTTTTATTTTTGTGCCCACCACTTCCAAGCGCCTGCTACGCAGGCTAGTTGTATCACGTCAGTTGATGGTAATGAAGTACTACCGTAAACCTGGTCGACACATATAAATTTTGTTTAAATACTTTTACGAGACTTTTTTTGCATTGGTAGCCTGCATTACAGGCCGGTGCGGGATGACTTGATTCCTTCTCCCGATCTCCCGATCTTTTGATTTGATCCCAATCTTCTCGTAGTCTGCGTAGCAAGCATTTCCGTGCGGTTTCGGAGCAAAGAACGAGGAACGAGAGTCAAAGACCGCGCGATGAAAAATGGCGCTTGCTCCATTTCGCGCGCGGCCAAATCCGAAGTCTTTGTTTGCTCCGAAACGAAACTGAAACTCTTGCTACGCAGGCCAATCTTCTCTTGGCTAGGTCGCCAAAACATATCCCGCCAGCTACGCAGGCTACAACCAATGACATTAAGTTTGTATAAATGACAAAATGACCGACTTGCTTTATCGTCTGATATCTAACTTGTTTCACTTGTTTTCAATTTTTAAGAACGGTATCATTTACAAACTGCAATACTACGGACTTTGAACCCCGAGGGCTGGCGAAACAGCAAGGTGATTTTTTAAAGGGAATTACACTTGAGAATTCTGTCATGTGAATCTGTCTCCACTTAAGGTGCTGAGATAATATCTGATACTTTTGACTTGCGATCTGCGTTTTTCTTTGACTAAGAAGTTCCTGGCCTGCGGCTGTGTAATAAAAAAATAAAAGGGGGTAAAATCTCCGACTGGAGCTTTTAGACCTTTGTTCAGTGCCAAACAGTTAGCGGAAAATGGCATACAAAGTGAATTGAGAACCGCAAGTTGAAAAACACAAGAATAAATTAACAAGGACGACATCAAGAAACGTTAATGCGAACAAAAAGGAAAGTGAGACAAGGTTGAGTCAGTCGACTTGTCTTTTAAAACAACTGTTGAAAGTGCGTGTTTGAAAACTCTTTTTTTCTGCGATCCGACTTTTTCCAGATTGCTTAGGCTCTTTTAACGGTGGTTATAAACATTGCGGGATCACAGAATTTTGTACAAAGGCGGAACAGCAATCGGTATTGTTTTTTCGGCGACACTTTTTTTTAGTTCGCTTATCATTTTTGTTCGTTTTTCGTGATAGACCGTAAGAATGTTAGGACAACACAAGTAGCTAGCAAGATCAGCGCGCCTCTATGTAATATATCAAACATGAGATGCAGTGTTTCATCACGAGATGAAACACCGAGAAGAGAGTTGAAAATACGACGCGCAGCGGAGTATTTTTGACGAACTTCGAGGTGTTTCATCTGGTGATGAAACACTGTGTCGAATGTTTGATATTTCTTCTCTATACATGAAAAAATTTCTCGATTGTGATTGGCTAAGAGGAATGCAGTTTTTAGGTAACACAGTGCAGAAAAAAGGTAATTGAGTGCAGAAAAAAGGTAATTTAGTGCAGAAAAGAGTAACAAACGTGACATTCTGATTGGCTAAAAAACAAAGGAACTCACTGAGAGCCAATCAAATGCGCCATCTAAATGGCGCAAAATTTGGATCCGCTCCGGACCAGTTTCGAGCAAAAACTGCAATGGTTGGCGTTTGCAGCACATTTGCTTTTGCGACCGAAACAACTGTAGAGGAGCTGAAAAACCGCTCTAAAAAGGAAAACACTGCGAAAAGCACTGGTTTTTGGCTCTCTTTTTGGAAGAATTGGTGCGTAGGTAAGGTAATTACTGATGAAATAGAAAATTATGAGCCGGCTGAGCTTAACACTTTGCTCGAGCATTTCTACGCCGAAGTAAACAATACAAAAAAGGTGAAGATTATGAACCAGAAAGCCTTAAAGTAATGAAGGCATCGCTTGATAGACACTTAAAGAACAAAGGCTGCACCCTGTCCATTGTACGTGACCGAGAATTTAGTTCGTCCAAAGAGGTGTTGGAGGAAAAAGCGAAACAGCTTCGCTTGGCTGGCCGTGGTAAGCGCCCAAACAAAGCTCGGCAAGTATCAGAGGAGGAAGAAGAAATTCTCTGCAAGAGCGGAAAACTCGAGGTAATAACCCAGAATCTTTATTTCAAACACATTGAACAATTCCATGAACTGTTCAGCCCGTTTCTGCAGCTTGCAAACTTTAAAAACATCGAGCAAAATGTTGTTTTGACTGCACGTGTGATGATATTTGCAGCATTTGAATAATTTATTTTTGCACGTAGTTTACGCGGGTTGACTCCCTATTAAAGAGATTTTAAAGCTATCTCGCAATTTTTTCATGAATATTATTAATAAGTAATCACATGATTTTTCTCGTGCAATTTGGAATAAATAAGCACTCGTAAATTTTTTCAAAGACCACAAATTGCACTCGCCCTACGGGCTCGTGCAATTTTGTTAGCCTTTGAAAAAATTTACTCGTGCTTATTTATTCCAAATTGCACTCGAAATCATGTGATTACCTGTACAAACAAAATCATTTTTGAAGGAGAAATTAAGGATGCAAATACTAAGCAGTGTTTCATCCGATTTCCAAACACTCATTAAACATTAATTTCCTTTGTATTTTCTTAATGAATTATTAATGAGTTTGAGAACTACATTTCAACAACTGGCAAATGGACAAGAATTTCTACTTGGTAATCAGAAACAACACTTTTCTGTTAAGTACGGTGTCATGTTAATGAATTTTAGCACCAAAAGTCACATGTCTCTTAAAGCGCATCAGAAATTTCTTTTATTTGTTAGGCTTCTGTTTTCAGTTTTGTGCATTTCAACAACAAGAAAAAGGATTTGGTGTGAGAAATAGGGGCTCGTGTGTTTACGCATTTCAGCTTGAAACAGCAAACACCATAAGAATTTGGAATTCAAACCTGCCGGCTGGTGTACCGCTAGCAAACAGGTACAGATTAGTCCTTCGGGTAAAAGAACCTTCTTTTCTTCAAGTGCAAAGCACTTCCCCGCTAAATCTGTTACTGCGAAGAAATTGTCCCTTTTGATACTTTTCCCTCGGAAATAATCCCAATGGACTCTTCGAAAGTTCGAGACCATACGTGCCTTCTAGAAAAGTATATTTTGACCTCAGATTTTTCATAGGACACAGCACACAATAAATCAAGCCAGTGTGAGTTCAGTGTCAAGTACTCAGTGTATATTAGCTAAGGCATACCCACTTATAGGTAAATTCTTGTGTCAGACTGAGAAACCTAAAAACACTTTTTTTCTTCCTTTCTTCCCCACCCCTTCCCTGCCCTTTTACTTGCGCCATTTTTCTCGTGGTCTTTGACTCTCGTTCCTCCTTCTTTGCTCCTAAACCCCACGAAAACGCTTGCTGCGCAGGCTACAGGGATAATAATCTAGCATGAGATAAACGAATGCTTTTAAAAACTGTTTCGAAGACAGGATTCGTTTGCATCGAGGGAAACAAACTGGACCGTAGTCCTCGACACGGTCGACAGGCCCAATTCGAACAAGCTCGGAAAGAACATTCCAGGGAAAAGCTCCAAAGCTTTTAACAAAGTTATTTCTTACATTGAAGATCAGGCGATTCGTTGATTCATTTGAGCGGTACAGCTATTTTTTATCTTATGATTATAACAATAAAGAGAGAATTAGTCAGTATTTAATACGCACCTCTGAATACATCCCGCCTACATTCAACTGCGGTCGGAGTAACTAAAGCCAATGCCAACACCAAGGGAAAGACGTTCATGTTTTACTCGTTCGTCTTTCAGTCTCCAGTCTCTTCGACGACGACTGATGGATTCTGCGAAGGGAAGATTCTAGATAGTATCACTTATATTGCTTTGCCGTGCCGTGGGGGGCAGTTAATTAAAAATGGCAAAGGTTAGAAACAATATATCATTGAAATATGCCAAAATAACACCACTACAGATGTCGCCTTAATTTTGATGAAAGAAGCAAATCATCTGAGGATACTCCCTGTATCCCGGGGGAGGTCCGGATTGCAAATGAGGGGATGATAGAAGGATTTTTTTGGAGGGGGGGCGGTGTTTGAGGTTTTCTGATTCCTTGATTTTTGGGAGTGGAATACTTAACCACGTATTTTTTGTGTAAGTGTGTTTTCATTAAATAACGGATTTTTTCTTTTTCTTTTTGTCTGTTTGTTTGTTTCTCTTTGTGTGTGTGTTGGGGGGGGAGAGGGTTGGGGAAATATTATTTGGCTTTGATTGAAGCCCTGGGGTTATTTTTGCCCCCATTCCATCACCGATCCCGGTCACTTCAAATCCAAACGGCAGCACCCCTCCCTGGTACCGGACAGTAAGAAAGGAATAGTTTTTTCTATGGAAGGTATTTGATTGAAGGAGATTGAAAGAATAAAGGTTTGCTGACTACAGGAGCAACGCATCTCAACATTGTTGGGTAGAGACCCCCGGGGAAATTTGCAAGAGCTTAAATCACTCATTTGTCTTTTTTTCACTACAAACCAGAATTAAAGATTAGCCACGGGAGCAACGAGTCATTTTAAGTAGGTTCCATTTTGTCTACAAACTACAAAGCCATCGACCTACTCAATTTTAGCCTGAAGGGGAAGGAGAGAAGCGAAAAGGGGGGGGGGGGGGGGGAAAGGGAGAAAAACTTTCCCCCCCCCCCTTCCCCCCCCCCCCTTCCCCACCTCCCCTTAGATCGGAAAACGGGCGGGGGGGGAAAAGGTTGAGATCTCGGGTGGCGCGTTGCCCATAAAAAAAAAAAAAGCAACGCTTTTAGTGGTCATTTTTATGATCGTTTGGCCGTTATTTGAAAATCCCAAAAAAGGGGGGGGAAAAAAAAAAGGTTGGGGCCCAAAAAAGTAGTTTGCCCGAGGATCAGGGCCTCCCAAGGGGGTGGGGGGGGGGGGATGGGAGAAAGGGGGGGGGGGGAGGGGGGGGGGGAAAGGTTTTCCCTCTTTTGCTCCCCCCCCCCCCCCCTTTTCGCTTCTCTCCTTCATCTAAATGTCTTCTTTTTTCTTTTTTTAATTAACAATGATAATAGAAAGGAAACCTGTGAACAGAGTATTTTATTTTATTGTTTTTTTTTTTTACACAACAAACAAACTACCTCAAAAGCGACGGATTGAGAGAGGGGGGAAAGGGAAGGAGGGGGGGGGGGGGGGGGGGGGGAGCGAAAGGAGAGAAACCTTTCCCTCCTCCCCTTCCCCCCTCCCCATTCTCACATCTCCTCTCCCCTAGCCCCTTAGGAAGGCCTGATGCTCAGGCTAACTCAATTTATGAGTCCACAACTCTTTATCTTCATCGCACTTTGTTTGGATATTCAATATAGCGGCAATCAGTCATTAAAATGCACTCTTAATGTCGTTCTTCTTTTTTTTTTAAGTAATCAATTTGTAGAAGCAATTTGGCACAATATCAAATTGCTTTTATGTCTCTCATCGATGAGCCTTGAGAGCTGTTCAATAACTGAATGATGATGAAGTGTTAAAATGTTTTAGCTTCTCATGTTCGGCAATGGAGCTAATGCTAGTTTCTGGAAGTTTCTCTCGCAAAAAGACATTCTCCCCCTCGAGATCAGAGTCAAAATTGTTCCCCCTTGAAACTTATTACACAACATCGAAGCCTGCGTAACTGTTGATTTTGTTGACTGTGCCGTGAAATAAACTTGAAGTTTAGAAAAACCTGTGATCGTGCGGGGACGGCTAAGGCCTGTTTCAAACGTCGTGTTACTGCCGTGCAGAACTCACTGATGGATGGATGAATTTGTCTGTTATTAATGTTTCTGTTGGGAGCTTTTTACTGTATCCAGATGAACCCCCTATGCAAGTTGTATATCATAGAAGAATTATCAAGCAGAAACTGATGCATTAAACAAGAATGTGGTTCAATACAGAGGAGAAGCTGGTCTCATTCAAGATCATTTGTGAATGAAAATGTCTCTAGAGAGATGTCAGCCAAGGGATGAAAGAAAGGCAGGGACAAAGGGGTACTTACCATTTACATGAAAAAACCGGAAAATCCGGTTGGAAAGTCGAATGGTTCGCGCCATCGATTCCGTTTGAGAATCTTCAGAAAACATGGGCTGTGATTTGAGGCAATGCAATTTTTCTACTTTTTAAAATCTGTTCAGCCGATTTGGATAGTACTTTGAGCTACTTTGTAGCGGGTCGTTCTCCCACCTCGTCAATAGCCTGGCAACAGGTCGAGCGGGGAACTTTTCTTGCTATTTTTTTCCCCAAACAGAGAGCCTGTTCACAGGCTACCTCGTCAAATGTTTAAGCACAAGATTTCCACCCGGGTGGTTTGTGTAAATGGTAAGCATCCTAGGTGTCCGTTTTACCGAGGTGTCCGCTAAGAGAGAGACTCTATCTTTTTCCCTTCGCGAACATGCTCCTTAACATAACCGGCTGCTAGCGACATAACTACACAATTCCCCTGCGCGCATATCAAAGAGTATCTGTGGAACAAATTCGGCGTATCCTCAGCGGCTCAGGGCCTCATCAAACGAGGGTGAAACAAATGCAGGCGTTTAACCAGTGGCTAAGACTCAGGTGACCTCTGTTCCTGTGACTGCCGTGATTATATGTCGCAATAGTGCCAGGCAGTACCGACTGCTATGTTGCAGGTAACAGGCCCATTGCTGAACTTAGTCACGTGCTTGGATACCACTTAGCAATGGCTCGCAGGATGGCAAGCCACCTGAGGGTTCATCCCGATCACAAAGCTTTGAGTACGCTATGAGTAGGGTCGAACGAAGCACTCCTAGTTTAATCAGTCTCTTGAAAATTAACCGAAATGAGTGGATTAGGAGACTTAAAAGACGTTTTAATTAAACAAGGAAGGCTTCGCCCGATCGCATTCAAAGCTTTGTGATCTAAGTATGCTGAGTCATATCAACAGAACTTGCTTATCCGCTTTCTGTCATCTTTATAACATGCGTAGAATTAGGAAATATTTAAGTCGTTCAGTCACCGAATCATTAGTTCATGCTTTTATAACCAGTAGAGTAGGTTATTGTAACAGTCTACCATATGACCTCCCGAATTCACATATCATGAAACTTCAACAGATACGGAATGCCGCAGTTCAGCTGGTCACTGGAACACCCAAGATTCCGTCATGTTACACCACTGCTTTTCCGCCTTCATTGGCTTCCGATAAGTTACCGTATAAAGTTTAGGATTCTACTTTTGACTTTCAAGTGATTATATGGTCAAGCTCCTAATTATTTAATTGATTTAGTTACTATCAAAAAGCAATCCAGGTACTCTCTAAGGTCAAATGAGTCTATATTCCTCGAGTTACCTGGCATTAAGACCTGTCCAACTCTTGGCGATTGTGCATTCCAGTCAGCTGCACTTGATCTCTGGAATACATTACCTTCGGCAATTCGCAACATAAAGACATTGGACACTTATAAGACTGCTGTTAAAACTCATTTTTTAAATTTAGCTTTTAAATAGATTTTTTTTGATTGTTGGCTTTTATTGTGTACAGGTTGGTAGTATTTAATAGTTTCTTACGCTTTAGTCACCTTTAACATAAATTTAATATAACAATATTGTAAAGCGCACCCGAATAATTATATTCATATAGAGGTTTGCGCTATATAAATGTAAATTATTATTATTATTTTTTTTATTATCTGAATAAGCGCTTGAATTGTTTGCCATCCAGCGAGCCGTTGCTAAGTGGTATCCAAGCACGTGACCAAGTTTTGCAAAGGGTTAGCCAATTCGGCGATTGAAGTCCCACTAGGGATGAGAACGTTTACAGTGTTTCAAATCATTCACCACTTTAGAAACGAGAAGACTGGACCGAGTTAACTTTCCCAAAGACTTATGGGACTGTTATTGGGGACATGGAAAAAATTGGCCAATAGCTGACCGGCGCGTCCCTGGTAACAATCCCAGAATTCTTAGCGAAAGTTAACTCGACCCAGTTCCTCTCTCGTTTCTTAAGTGACCAATGAAGTGAAGTTGTTAAGTAAGCGACAAAATATGTATAGGGTTCACGTTAACATTTATTTTAAGCTATAATATAGAACACACAAAATAAAAATAACAGCATAAAGTGTCGTTGCTTGGAATCCGTAAATCTTTTCTAATGTCTATTATCATGATCGTAAATACGAATATCGCTCACCTGCTTCAACAAAATCACCTAAGAAGAACAAGAATCGACAACCGCTAGAATAAAAGAACATCTGAATGTTCGAACTTGACCTTGTGTTTCTTTGCGCTATAATAGTTTAAGCAAATTCGACAATGTACAATGTAAGAGCCGTCTGTACGGTCAGCAGCTAATACACAAAGCATACGGGACCCAATTCTACCGTTAATTGCGAGTCCACTTGACTTTGTGGTGCCCAGTCTACTATCGGAAGGCTGTTTTTCCTTTTAGTAGACACTTCGATGGTCATTTTCTTATTTCCATTCTGTGAGATCTGCAAAAAAAGGTGACATTAAAAATCACGAGTGTTCAGTGTATTGGTAAGGGTTTAAATCCCGAAATCTGACCTCGAAAACAACCCAGGGACCCGTTTCTCGAAAGTCCCGATAATCAACGGGCCCGGAAAGCTGTGGTTGTTTACATTCAAGATCGAGGTTTCAATAGTTTTGCAGATAATATGACACAACTTTCAAAAACAAAACAAAACGGCCTGGTTTGTTAACTAGGACCTGCGCTTTTATACCATAGATTTTAATGTGAACATTTGAGAACAAACGGAAAAGTAACGGGATGTTAAAGAAACGGGCAA